TCAAGCTGAAATTTTGCACACTTATTTCTTTTACATAACAACACAAGCATCAATAAAAAAAAATAAACCAATTAGTTAATTAACTATATTGGTAATAAATTATTTTGTTTGAATGAGGTAAAGATTTTCCTTCACTGATAAAAGTGGTATAAGTTGAATTAGTCCTCCTTACTGTTTGTAGAGAAAAACTTGTAAATAACTATAAAACCTATTTTCATAAGCAGCTCAGTGGTTACTATGAGTTCAAATTCAGGTCGCTTACTTGTTTTTTTTATATAAATAGATTTTTAAAGCGACAACCTAGGTACCCCCTTCTTTCTCCCCCACCTCCAACCCTTTTCAATTGGTCCAGACAAGTGATAGAATCATGACTAAAAGCATGAAATTTTGCTAAACAAAAACAATTGGTAAAAATATTTCTAATTGCACAGATTTATCATTGTTAGATCTATTACAAATTTAGTTACATGACTGATCCAAACTAATTAATACAACTACACTAGATATCAGCTTTGTTTTTTTTTTTCTTTTTTTGTTGTTTTTTTTTAAAGTATTTTTTTTTTCTTTCTATTTTGCTTGTAATTAATTAATGGTTCTGCTAGCATAGCAAGTAATCTAGTTTAATTTCACTCTACTCTTTTTAAGGAGGGTTATAGTGTAGCAGTTTAGGAATAAGTATCCAAAATATAATTATTATTAGTTAATGGGGTCTAGAAGTCACATAATTTTCATTTACTGTATATTAGTATAAGCATTGATAATCTCTCTATAAGCATTGATAAACAAAGCAACAGTTTTTATTACGTTTTTTGTGTCTTTTTAGGACTTTGGACCCAAAGTTAATTTTAAGAAACAAAAAATACGAGTTTCAAGTTTCAATGGATTACCTTCCTATAGCAGATTTCTGTTTGAAAGGATGGGAGCTCACTCTTGCCTTAAAGATTTTCAGCCTGTAGAGCTCTGCAACTTGGAATATTGCATCGAAAGAGGAGCACATATTGACCCACATTTCGATGATGCTTGGCTGTGGGGGGAGAGGCTCGTCACCCTAAACCTCATGTCAGACTCTTGCTTGACATTTACGCTGGATGAGGATCCGTTTCTGGAAGTCAGGGTACCACTCCTGAGACGCTCGCTGATTGTCGTAAGTGCTGAAGCAAGATACCATTGGAAGCATGGCATTAGCGAAACAGATGTGATTGGAAGAAGGGTGGCCATGACCTTTAGGGAGCTGTCTGAAGAGTTCAGCAGAGGTGGGAGTAAAGAGGAAGAGGGGAAGAATCTTTTGACTTTGGCCTTGACATTTCAAGGGACTGCAATACAGCCTGCTAATGTCCCCCACTGGGATTAAGAGAAATGTAAAGTTCCTATTGCGCCACAGAAAGAAAGCCATTGTGATCTTGTACAATGTTGACATGCTTAACAAAAATTTTTATCCTATTTAAAAAGTCATACATTCTTAATGTGACTAGTTCCTTTGAAATGGTTGAATCCAGGCATTATGCTTTCATGATGAGTATTGATATAATTAAAAAACTAGACTTCATGTCTTGTAACCAAAATAACTACTATTGATTATATCAACAAGTAGATAGCAAAACTTAGCTTTGATCTTTAAAGCTAAACAGCACTCACATTCCACTGCACAATGCATCAGTCAACATAACTCAAATGACAAACTTTTAAAATCTCTAGAATATAATTACAAGAATTTAATAAATTTACTTATGTAATCTAATATAGTTAACAGAAACTCTTGATCTTCTAATCATTAGATTCATGTGTTTTATGTTTACATATAATTCAAACTTATTTTATTGTATATTACCCTTTTTTTTTATAAAGGAAATGGATTGCAAATTTGCTAGTTGTCATTTATTATTAATTTTTTTTTGCTTTTAAATTTATGCAAGAGTCTTATGACAACATAATTAGTGTGATATTTTAAAAAGAATGTCTTTCTTTGTTTCCTGAAATTTCATACTATATACGTATCGGTCTATAGAGTGGACAAAAACACTCAACGTTGAAATCAGAACTAGAAGGGAGGGTCTTAGTAATTAAATTGAGAAGCTACAGAAGGCTCTTAGGTATCGCGTACAAAGACCGCACACAATTAAGGAAATATCAAACAGTATCACAATATCCCCTCAATGACTGCTGACTCTGGAAATGATAAATTCTAAATTAGATTGTTGAAATATGACATATTTAGAGAACTATTTTTTTCTAAATGTTTTTTTTTATATGGACTCAGATAGGAATATCTGGGCTATCATACTTCAAACTTTTTTCATGAAATAATCAAAACCTTTATTAAAACTTTGTTTTTGGAATTGGGGGGGGGGGGGGGGGGGAGATTTTATATTATATATAAGCTATTGTATAGCGTAGTGAAAAGAAAATGTCTCATCTTGATTATTGTCAGAACTTCTGGCATCAAAATCTCAGACCCCTAAAATGGATGCACTGATACATCACATGATCATGTAAATTCTGACCAATCTTTTTTTCTCATTAAAGTTTTAAAATATATTGGAATATCTTATGTTTGTTTGTATTTTCTGATGAAGTGGCTGATTAAAAGGTTAAGTAGTTTTTAATATAAATACAAAAACTGTTCAGGCCAGGTATAGATAGTATAGATCACACAAAGAAATAAGCTGCTAAAGTAGTATAGATCATAGGGTTTGTCAATGCACTACTAAAAAGTTACATATCATAGAAATATAAGTGTGCTACCTACCAAAGTAGTATAGATCATGCCTGTCTAAATTCAAATGAGCTACTAAAATACAAAACCTAATAAAATACTCAGAAATATAAAGGCACATTTCTTATATCATATGCTTGGACAAACTTGTACAGATGCTCCTTCTTCCCTAGTAGTATTACAGCATGGAATGGTTTACCTGAATCAGCCAGGAAAACCAACAATTTGGCAGTGTTTTAAGTCACTGATTAACATACATGATTAAACTTACACAGCGATACACATAGGATGTAATTATCTTGTCATTTGAAGTAGCTTGTACTTTTTTAATAAAATACTGTGGCATTCAATCTCAAAATATAAAGTAACTAGGCTGACTTTGGTATTTTTTGTTTGTTTATCTTTTAGTTTCCTACATCTTGTCAGACAAGCCTGCCAATACAACTTCTACTGAAACTAGCTAAAAAAAATCCATCCTGATTTTCAGTGTTTATGTGTTGATTTAAGCCTTTTGACTACCAGTGGAGCATAGGGCTACAACAGTACTTTACCACCACTGCCATCATTGCTTCTTGTCCTTTTGGTCTCCATGTTTGCTTTGGTCTCCCAGCCTTTCTCTTCCCTTGTGGGCTTCAGACCAGAGCCTGCTTTGCAATATATTTCCATTGTTCATTGCATAACATGCCCAATATAGTCATGTTTGCTTCTTTTGAAATTCTTGCTCTGTTGTTTGTTTATTTGGTTGTTCCTTACAGGTTATAGTTAAGTCTATCACCTATTATATGTCATAACGCCCATTAAATGTAGCAAGAATTTAATTGAGAATGCAGTCTCAGCACCATGAAAAAAAAATGATTTCACATTTGTAGTGAAGATGCAAATTTTATTGTGCAGGGATAGTGCTTTTGACCACCAGTTGGGGCAGGTTTTATGTTACTGATAATTTTAGTGAAGATACAGTTAAGTTTTTAAAATGTAAATGAATTATTCTTTCACCATTTGAACAAGCCTGCTTCTTACTGTAACTCGATAACTTAAAAAAAAAACTAGATCTACCAAACACAGGTGTCCAAAAAATGACAACAAAATGATTTTAAAAATTTATTTTGTATACATATTTCAGCTGACAGAACGAGTTATACAAATTAAATAAAATCTTGGAATGTTTGTTGACAAAAAAATAATCTACTTGAAATTAAGGAAAAAATCAGATCTTTTGTTTACAAAACTGGAATGTTCAATTCCTATTAATTTGATCAACCACATTTCTACCAAAACCTGGCAACCTACATTCGCAAATACTATACACAATATATATATTACAATGAATAAAAATCTGTTTAGTTGAGGGTAACATTATATTAGTCCAAGACAAATATTATCTTGGAATAGATTGACATTGGTATCAGTAGTGGAAGAAATGCCATTTCAAAATAAAAAATTTTTTTTTAGATAGGCTTAGTTTAACATTCACATAGAATTCCCTAAAGTGTTTGTGTGTGGTTTTCTTACATAAGAAATACATAATTTATTCTAAACAGTTAATAATGATATACAAAACGTTTGAAATAAGTCTTAAACTAATTTTAGATAATGCATGTTATGTCAACTCTAACTGTTGTCATCTATCAGAGAACAAACTTAAAAATTTGATTAGCACTAATATGTAATCATAAAGTAATCAGCAGTACACTGTCAGCAGTCACTCTATAAAACCAAATGTTATGGATAACTCATTGAGATCTGACAATACAGGGAAAATCAATACAAAAAACATTTTTCTCCAATTTCTAGTCTTATTAATCTGTTTTTAACATGATCTTTTTACAAAGTTCATACGTTCGTATAAGTTACACAAATTTAATAAATTAACAAAATTGTCATGAAATTAAGGACACAACACCGGTTCAGAGTAGAATGAACAAACTTCCGATTGCCTCACCCTTGCTAATTAAATTGGCAATTACAGACATTTGCAAAAGCATTTCAAATGTACATTTTAAACTACTTCTTAAACTGATGCTGAAAATGTAAAACTTTTACTCATATCAGTGCTTAGTAAAATTTATAAGCAATCTAGTTGACTTAACTTAAGAAATGCAGTAAACAATGACATTAGCACTGGTCATGTGACCCAATGGCATTAACACTGCAGTCATGAGACACAGTGACATAACACTGAGGTCATGTGACACAATGACATTACACTGCAGTCATGTGACACAATGACATAACACAGAGGTGATGTGATACAATGACAACACTGAGGTCGTGCGAAACAACGACATAACACTGAGGTCATGTGACACAACGACATTTCCCTGCGGTCATGTGACACAAGGGCAAACCTCAGTTCATGCCCACCATGATTTAAAATTCTAGGATAACATAGGAACATGTTCAAACATCAACACTGCATAACATGCTTACTAATAGTATTCTACAAATACAAGCTTCTCTACACTTTCTCTCAAAGCTCTAGAATTGAACAATTTTTCAAAGCAGCTCATTATGAACTCAGATATAAACAGTTTCTGCTTTTCGTCACACAGACTTCATCTGCTCCAGTGACTTCAACTACACTCACACACGTTAGCCTTTTTGACAGTGATTTGCAACTCTATTCAGTTATTTTCTTTTGCCCACAAAAACCAGTTCAAAGGATAGGGGGGGGGGGGGCGGAGGTCAAGGCAAATAAGAAGTGTTAACCTTTATAGAATAACACGTAGAACTGAACTAGTGCATCTCCACTTCCAGCTTCTACTAAAAGAACTTTAATTACGATTGACACACATTCACGTAGCTTTTCAAAACTGAGACCAATAATTGCAAAAACGAGCACAAAGCAAGGATGGGTGAAAGTGCTATGGATGTAAGGACCAAACCATAACAGTGATGACAGTTGCCCAACATGTGACCAAAGTTGTGTAACTAGGATTGGTCTCTTTAGTCACACAAGAAGTTGCAAAGGGAAAACATTCTCTCTAGAGCCACAGACACACATACATACTATTATTGGTTCATGCATAATATTGCTTCTTTGCTAACTGGACTATATGGCTTGGATAAAAACTGAAAATGTACACTTTAATAAAGTATATACTGGTTGAGTTCCATCTGGAAATTTCTTTTAAAAAATGATCGATGTCATAAAAAATTAAACCAATTCAAAACCAAATACCGGTAATACAAAGTATCTTAAACCAAAAAGACAACAACAAAAGAAAATAATAATAATAAAAAAATAAGACCACTTATAGTACCGTAGCATAAAATTTACTGTCATTTCCCATCATTTAAGATTTGAAAATCAGTGAAATCAGTTCAAACTCATTTTTTGTTTAAAAAAACAACTTTGCATTCTGCATGGAAAGGAAGCAACTTTACTCAAGAAAGTTACCTATATTTACAAAGTAGTTAATCATTGTGTTAATTGTAAAAACAAACATTGGCTGGCTAATTTTATATTTAGTAAAGATTGTTCACAACCTGATCTATGTGTAAACTTGGGAGGCAGATCTGTTTGACACACTAAAAACATAAGTTCAGTAATTGTTACAAAAGTAATAATGACAATTTTTTACTGCATGACTATCAGTAAAAGAAAAAAAAAGTGAGGTGATAGATGGTAGGAAAAACTCAAGTTGAGAAATGTTTGGCTAGAATAGGATCAAGTTTAAACAAAACATTATTTTGATTTGACTGTCAACAAAAATCAAAACCATGGAACTATTCACTTCTCAAATTTAGTACTGGCAAGCAAAGTGACTAGGTGTCCAAGCATGTAACTCTCAGCCACAATCATTTCACAAAGTACAGCTAGCTTCAGTACTGCTGACATTGATCTCAGATGGTATCTAGTCTAGTCTCAATAGTGGAACTAGATTTTCAAAAGTCATGAAAAGAAGTCAAGGAAGGAATGCTACCTAGACTTCTAAACATGTGATTTATCAAACTGTACAGAACATTTGGTTAGTGGAAAGAAAACAATTCTGAAAGCACTGAGGCATAAAGGAATACTTTTATCATGAAATTTTAAAGTTCAAACTGTCATCGCAGCATTCATCAAACAGAAAGAAAAGAAATCAATTTTGTTAGAAAGAGATCACAGTTCCTGAAATCCACTAATATCTTCAGAATAAGATTTGTACACACAATTAATATACACATACATTTTATTTGTACACATAATTTTTTATACCGGTAAACATAATTTTTAAGTACAAAAAAAAATAAAACATTAAAAAATAATTCAGTGGTTTAGGGGTAAAGAGGAAAATAAAAGTCAAATAGACAAGCTCTTAGATTATACACATGCTTATACAGTAGAACATTGATATAAGGAATATGTATTTAATGCTATTTCCGGATTGAAAAATTTATATACACATATATACAGAATATAGCGTAAAAACCAGAAAGCATCATATCTTGTCAACATACAGACAATTATTACAGGGCCTTAAAGGTTTTACTAAGTACCTGGTCAAAACAATCATGACATTATATAATTCTCTTAGAGACAATTCATATACATGTTCCCTTAATTTGCCTAAAAAGCTGCACAAAACAAAAAAATTGTTGTCCATTTGCCAATTAATCAATTACCAGAAGTGACATTTCATTGAAGCACCATAAAGCACCATCTTTATTATGTTGCATTAAGCTTTAAAATTATTTTAAGGTTAACTATCGATTGTAAGAATGATTTCCAACATCCACTCCTCCCCACTGTAAAATTTGTTTGTCTGGATTGTCATTCCAAGATTCCCCATAGGCTTCAGGTCGTAACTAAACAAAAATAAAAAAAATCATAGCATGTATCACTGTTATAATAATATGTAAAAAGATTGTATATCTCAATTCTGGTTAAGCATCAAATATGGTTAACTATTTTTAAATGAACAATAAGCAGCAATAAAGCTGGCTAGAAGAAGAAGAAATGAACAATAAATGTTAAATGCCCAGTAAGTTAACTTCACCAGACGATAAGCCTGTTTTTCCAAGAATTTCTTCAAATGCTCATATCTGTGAACCGCATAGAGAGGGAAATTTATGAAAAACAATCATGCCATAAATGGAAGTAGACACACTGCTTTTTTAAAAAAATATTCTTAGTAAGAAATAAGCAAAACTATTTTTAAAAATTATTGGGTAGAAATTTGATGAGAGCTATCAATTTTGGGAAGATTTTCACTAGAAGTACTAAGAACCCAGTACAAATAGCCAATGAAATGCGGTGAAACTTTTTGATTAGACATTGCAAATGTCTGCCTCGGTATTTACATTGAATTGGTGTGAATTTATATATTAAATACCAGGCATGTACACAGTAGGTATAGGATTGTAATAAGCCTTAAGTTGATAAATGTTTTAGTTAATTTATTCTCAAGGAAAATAATTTTATTCAAAATAATGTTTAGGAGGTGGAAGGTAGGAGGAGCCCTCAGGAACTCAGGCATATTGTACAGGACTGGTAGAGCTTAGAACTATCTCTACTATTTTGTAAGAAAACATCAGAACAAAATGAGGATATATAGGCAAGTAGTATCTAAAAAGGCATTTTTTTAAAATTACCTTTCTTGACTGTTCTTTCCTAACTGCTGAAGCTTCCCATTTTCTTTGGCTCTCTTGAGCTTTTAATGCAGTCTCAGCACCACAGCCCCAAACCTAGAGAGATGAATTGAGTTAATAAGTATTTACTATTCAGTTTCAGTTACATGTTTTCAAAATAGAGAAACATTGAGCATTGATATTGGAATCAACCGCTTGAAATTGGAATTAAGAGCCTCCTGTGATAGGCCTTGCCCTGTAGTCGCTAATGGCTGCCTGACCTCAACAGATTGCTATGGAGATGTCTGGGTTTTCTTGTACGGGTGTATACGATGTCCTTAACAAACAAGTAACAAGACCTACACATGCAACAAGTAGAAAGACCAAGTCCAAACCGTTAAACATTACATGAATGATGTTTAATACTGCCACAGTCGAGTCTCTGTAATCACGTTATCCCTATGAAGTACTAACACCAACTGACTATATTAACATAAATAATCTCAAACCCAACTAAGTCGTGACATCACTAAATGTTGCGTTCAAAGTCCATAAAAAATAGTGTGTCTCTTAACAAACTAATAATACTAACTTAGTGTCTCACACTCTGTGGCAATTTATGACCTTATCTCTTTGCAACTTCTCATGCAACTAATGGTTAGGTATTTATAATTACCAGACACTGCAGCATTTTCAGCCTTTTTTTCCTACTTTGGGTGTCTTCACCATGATGTGATCCAGGACCACTTCTTTATGATTGTTCAATTGCCATTAAACAAAAAGAAAATGTGGATAGCCCTTATACAATTTTCTAATGCACTTAAGTGTGTGTGTGTGTGGGGGGGGGCACAAGGTATGAAAAGGAAACATTACTTTTTACTTAGATAGAAAATAAAAATGAGAAGTTTTTTTTTTGGGGGGGGGGGAGGGGGGGGGGGGGTTGATCATGTTTTGTTTCCCTGAATGAAATGAAGCAAAACAAACCTCTATTTTATGCAGCTCACAGGGAACATCATAATGAAAAATTTTGTCAAAGTCTTCAGCCAGGCGCAGCACTTGTGTCTTGCCTTCACATCCAATAGTAATGCCTTTAGGAATTTCTCTTGAAAATTCTGTCCATCGAACCATTTTTTCTCCAACTAAAAGTTTCGATTAAAATATTTTGTTAAATTCAAGTAGCCTTTCATTCAATTTCATGACTAAATAAAAAATCACCCAACAATAAAATAAAAGAGTGCTATTTAACTCTTTCTCTCCTAATTGACAATCTCATTGTTGATTTTGCTTCATTAAATCAAATTAATGTTTAATTTTTAAAACTTTACTTTATGTTATATAGAAGTAGCATGCATTCCCTGATACCAAATAAAACCTTTTCTGGTAACAAAGAACAAAGCTATTGAAGCTTAAATCATAATATAGTAGTGAAGTAGTAATGAGCAAAATGAAGAATTCTGTCTGAATGTGCAAAAATAATTAAGACGGAAAGAGTTAAACCAGTTTGCCATCAAAAGTCTTTAAGTGCCTTTCAACTTTTGTCAAAAACTATAAATACAAAATATATGTAGACACAGTATGCAGACAAAGAGCAAACAGGTTACCACACTTCTCTATTTCAGTACTTTTCAGAAAAAAAAAAAGAGAGAGAGGGAATTGTTTATTGGTAGATGACCTTGGTGTAAATAATCAATTTAGAAATATTTAGAACTAGATAAAAGGTCAAAGTAGAAGTTTACGAAACTGAAAGAAAATATTAATAATGATGTAAAACAATCCAGAAAAGTCTTTACGCTGGACTATATAAAGAGCGCTGAGCTAGAGCTATCTGGGGTCATTATTCTGTATTCTCTGATGGATATTTATTAATCGTCAGTATCTTCACAGTGCTTTTGGATAAGGATATCAAGGATAATAATACATGCCAGTCAGGGTCTTAATTTAATTGTACAAGTGATTTATATTTTTTCATCACTGGATTATTTTTTTTATTGAATTTGAGCCTCAAAAAAACATATTCAATGTTTTGATTCTTGATAGTAAAGTATAGAGTAAAGATATAGAGGCATCTCAAAATCTGTGCATGTCATATACTTTATGTCAAAAGCTTAAAAGGCACTTCAAGCTATAGTTTCATAGAGCCTGG